CTTAATCACAATACATTGCAATAATTCATAATCACTCTTCAGCCGAACCCTTCTTCCTTGTCTGCCGAGGACTCGCCCCGTTCTCGTTCTCTGATCTGATTCGGTTCTGTACTACTTATATAGTCTCGAAGCGGATCCATAGGAAACACATCCGTTGTTCAACATTGGTTATATGCGAACCACATAGAAAACACCTCTTCTTTTGTCAAGAATGCGTGTTTATTGGCCCGTTACCTAGCAATGGATCTACATGTCACAATATGATATGAAGAGTCCTGTCTTCTGTGAATTGATGCCGTGTAGTCTTGTAATAGGTTACTGACATATCAGACGAATATACAACTTTCAACTTAAAGCTCGACGAGCAAGCCAAACAAGATGCAGATTTGATTGGGGGGTCGTAATATTTGCCGCCCCTAAAATGGCGCCGCACCTGGACGTCGCCTGGTTACAGCTCCATCTCGAGACACGCCAAACTGAGATTTTCCAACTGTTATTTCATAATGGATGTTTCCTTGGGTTCCTGTTCAAACCTGAAGATGGAAGCAATACGTTTCTCTATATCTCTATATTTACCGCACTACACTGCATCACATCCCAGGAGATCTCCGCTATGAGCAAGCCAAACAAGATGCAGATTTGATTGGGGGGTCGTAATATTTTCCGCCCCTAAAATGGCGCCGCACCTGGACGTCGCCTGGTTACAGCTCCATCTCGAGACACGCCAAACTGAGATTTTCCAACTGTTTTTTTCATAATGGATAATTCCTTGGGTTCCTGTTCAAACCTGAAGATGGAAGCAATACGTTTCTCTATATCTCCTGTGAATATTTACCGCACTACACGGCATCACATCCCAGGAGGTCTCCGCTATGAGAAACTCAAATCTAGCTTAATCTATTATCCATTTCCGGAACTATCTAGCAAAAATAATTTATTCAATAGAAACTTAACCCCTTCACTATTTATTTATTGTTTACTTGACTGTACAGCGTCTAATAATAAGTTTATAATGAATAATAACAAAAATTTGAAAGAATTTGGTAAGAACTGGTCGTGTCCTAAGCCAGAAACTCTCCGATATTTTCCTGGAGGGATTGAGGAAATAACACGAAATACTAATTCAGTCAAGATAACCGTTGTCCAAGCCCATCCTTTCCAATTCATTATTCACTGACCGTCATATCATCTTAGTTTAGGACAGCATCGTTAAATAGACGTAATAACATTGGACGTGTGCCACTTTTACGTGGAGTTAACTTATTTGTATGTGTTGTAGCATCGTCACACAATTGGCAACGGTGCTGCTAGGAGAAAGTGAAGCTGCTGCTTTCTCTTTGCATGTAACTGGTTGCTTAAGATCCCACCGCTGTGACTCGCAGACTAAATGCCGACGTCATCGATAGTATCGTCTTAATAGGCACGTGACTACAGCATCAGGGCCGGATTTACAGTTTCTGGGGCCCCCGGACAACAAAATGTGTAGAGCCCTATCAGTAGCAACAAATTTAGGTTATGACACTTCCCCCCCCCTTTTTGTAATAACTAAAAATAAAGACTAACTTCTCGTAATTTTAGGGAAACAAATGTCTCAGAAAAATTTGTGGATTTTATTTTTGTTTTGTGGAGGGCCACGGGGCGGCTACCCGGGCGCTCCCCTTGAATCGAGCCCTGTGCAGCCCCAATAATGCAGATAGATTCGGCATTACTGTAATAGAAACAGTACTGTCCGTATTGATATACTCTACAGAAGATGGTCTCTCAGACCGAAACATGTCAAGGATGAAAGATTAAAAAGGAGAAAAAAAACAATTATCAGTCACACTGGATGGAGTTGATAAACTTTTGTAATTCTAATTCGTTATTCAGTAACCGTTCAACCAATCTTCACGCTTTCAGACACTGCCATATTCAGTTGCAGCTGTGTTTGCCTTTCTGCATTTAATGGATGTTTAAAATAGCAAGGATATTGGGTGAACTTATCGTTCGTTTCCTTTTATGTCTTAACAATGATCAAGTCAAGGAGGGTGAGGTGGGTTGGGAGGGCGTGTAGAACGAATGGGGGAGAAGAGGAATTCATATAGGATATTGGTGAGAAAGCCAGAAGGAAAGAGACCACTAGGAAGACCAAGACGTAGTTAGATGGTTAATATTTAGAGAGATAGGATGGGGTGATATTGACTGGATTGATCTGGCTGAAGATAGGGGCCAGTAGAGGCCTCTTGTGAACACGGTAATGAACCTTCGGGTTCCGTAAATTGTTGGGAAGTTCTTGAGTGGCTTCACAACTGGTGGCTTCTNAGTATAATCAAAACGATCAAGTCAAGGAGGATGAGGTGGGCAGGGCATGTATCACGAATGGGGGAGAAGAGGAATTCATATAGGATATTGGTGAGAAAGCCAGAAGGAAAGAGACCACTAGGAAGACCAAGACGTAGTTAGATGGTTAATATTTAGAGAGATAGGATGGGGTGATATTGACTGGATTGATCTGGCTGAAGATAGGGGCCAGAAGAGGCCTCTTGTGAACACGGTAATGAACCTTCGGGTTCCATAAAATGTTGGGAAGTTCTTGAGTGGCTTCACAACTGGTGGCTTCTCAAGAAGGGCTTAGCTCAATAGAGTTGGTTAACTTATTTATGTCAATGCTGTTGGCTGACAAACCCCACCGCCATCTGTGAGCCGATTGTCTAGAAAATGTGGGAACCTCAACATCTCGCAACCCTATGGGCCTCCACGGCCTGTTACAGGGATACATTTACTGTGCTTACCGTTAAATTCTCTTGTTCAGTGGCAAGAGGCATTTGTCATTACCTGNGGGTCCGTTAGAAAGAGCTAGCCTCAGTCACTGGACAAACCAATGTACTGTTTACAATTTACTGTACTTATTGTTGAATTCTTTTGTTCAGTGGCAGGACGAATTTGTCGTTACCTTACGGGAAGGTTAGTTACTGTCTAGCTTCGGTGGTTGAAAGAATTAAAATTTAACGGGGATGTAGCTCAGTGGTAGAGCGTTTGCTTTGCATGTAAAAGGCCCCGGGTTCAATCCCCGGCATCTCCATGGTATTTATTTTATTTACAGTAAATAATAGTTTCGTATTTTCACGTCTTCTACATTAATTTCGATGTACGATTCAAGATTTGAAACTCAATTTTTAAAGAGGCGCGTTTTCAATGCATATATAAGATTTTATGTTTCACAGCGATTAAGACTCACATCATGGTCTTCTGTGCTATGATGTCGTATAGTTGATTGCTAACATTTCTGCGGAACAAAACGCGTGAAGTTGGAAGCAATATATTTTTCCGAAACGTCGTAATTACGTACCAGGCCATACAGTATCACCTGAATATGAGTGCTGCGACTTGTTTCCGTGGTCTTAGTATAGGGATAGGCGCTTTGGGTTGGTTGACGTAGGCCAGAGTGGACTTGAGTGCATGTTATCTTTTAAAAAAGATCTGTTCTACATTGTAATTAATTTATTTCCTTGTCGACATCAGTAATTATTAACAACAATTCGTTATAAAAGAAAATGTAGTTGAACAAATAGTAAATTTTAACGTCGGGCGTCGATGAATCAGAAAATGATAACAAAGCATGTTTAGCAAATTGCATAAACTCTAGTGCAGATGCGCTACAGTAAATAGATGAAGAATTTAAAGTTGTCACTGTGCTTAATTAATTTAGGACTACGCCATGAAGGAGTATGGGGGAATAGATATATAGATCCATATTTTGACCTCGGCACTAGTTGGAGGTAAGTGGTCAGCTTTACGCCCCGGCCGCTTTACCCCCTTGAAAGAGCCCCCGGTACCCATTAGATAGGAGGTTGGGTGGAACCCAGAGCCGGTTTGGACGACGTGGAGAAGGAACCGTTAAAAAAAACTATAAGAGAAACAGTCAATATTTTGTAACGTAGATTTCCTGTGCTGCTGTAGTGGTCTGAAACAGGTGGCATGAAGTTTTTTCGGGCATTACCTGGGTATAACCCGCGTCATCATGATTACTGTTTGGAACTGAAATGGGAACTAAATTTAGAAGAAATACCAACCCCAGGGAAGACGGGATGCTGGAAGACCAAGCATAAGATGGAAATATCGAGAACACTTTGAGCTTTAAAGGAACAGGTCTTACGATTTTTTTTTCGCTTCTTATTCACCTCATCACATATAAATTTGTGTTAAAATCTTAAATTCGTTCCTTTTAATGTTAAAATTATTTTTCGCATTACTGGTGCAACACATGTTTCGATACATGTGGTCATCATCAGGTAATTCCGAAAATTGCCGTTGAAAACTGCTGCACTTCCGCCAATGAATATAATTTCAAATTATACCCTCGTTTTCAATTGTAAATTTCAAAGCACCTGATGAAAATCATATCGATCGAAACATATGTCGTACCAGTGAAGTAAAGAATAATATTAAAATTTTAATTTTAAGATTTTAACTCAAATTTGCATGAGAGGCGGTGAATGAGAGTTGGAAATTAATGACATGCAACAGAGTGTTGCGGTACAGCACTTAAGATCTGACCCTTGTTTGTGTTCATGGAGAAAGAAAGAAAGAAAGAAAGAAAGAAAGAAAGAAAGAAAGAAAGAAAGAAGGAAAGAATCCAAAAATCAATGGCACGGACTTCTGCGAATGGAAAACAATAGACTTACCAAAGGAATCATACAAGACATAGACACTTAGGACGACATAAAACAAAATTGGAGGGAAGTTCGTTGTGAGACGTGCACGAGACTCACCCTGCGCATTATGATTAATACTTTTTTTCCTTGGAACCACAGCCCCAGTGGGCCTAGGCCTACCTTCATGAACTTCTCCGTTCACTTCGGTTTTTCTCGATCTTACACATTCGGTAGGACTCCTTGGGCGGGTGATCAGCTCGTCGCAAGGCCTCTACCTGTACACAAACACAGAAAAACGCACACACACAAACTAAACATCCATGCCCTGAGTGGGATTCGAACCCACGATCCCGGTTTCCAAGCGAGCGAAGACAGTACATGCCTTAGACCGCTCGGCTACCGTGACCGGCTATGATTAATACGTACTATGTAACATAAAAAGACACAAAAAGTTCAAAATCCTAACGCCCAGCTCTCCTTCACTGCTCGTCTCTGTCTCAGGTAGATTATTTTCCCATCTACTTCGAAATATTTACAATCCCCCCCATTTAAAGTACTTTAACAACGTTTAACGATTCGTTTCCTACGGATTGTCTCCGGTGTGTTTTCAGTTTTGTGTTCGTCTCAGTTTCATAGAGCCACGTGATCTGATCCCTTTGGCGGGAGGAATCCCCGTACAGCCACGTCCTCTCTTCGCCAGTTGATGGCAGAGTCCCGGAGAGGCAACAATGTCTCCCAGAAATACACTCAGCAAGTAGTTTCGCTTGTCATCGGCATCCGAGGCATCGTACCCTCTGGAACACGATTTAGAAATAGGTTGTATTTAGTAAAGAATTGCTCCAGTCATTACAATATAAAGAAGCGTGGGTTTCAGACTTGGACATAGGTTGAGGCTGATTGAGAATAGTTGGACTTAAGAGTGAGGAAATACCTCCTTGACTCGGTTACTGGAAACTCGTTTGTTGCTAAGGAATTCCTCAATTCGCCTAGAACTACTGAGGAAAAAAAGAACACGGACTGGGATATACGTGTACATCTTCCCCTGGTTCAGTCACGAAGAGAAGGCAAGGCATGTGAGTGGTAGAATGGGTTGACCTTGACAATTCTACCGTTCATTTGCGGACATTAAGCTTTGGTGTAAAGAGGACAATGAGAAGAGGCGTCTGCAAAACATACTTATGTTTTCAGCTTGCATAGTACATGGAGGGTGGGCCTTGGTAATTGTATCGCCTCTCTTCGTTGTAGGCTGTGCTTTCTGAATCCAAAGTTGAGATAGGTTTCCCGTAGCCGTACTCACTTGAACAATTGTTCCCAATCCAGGACATGGTTCGAGCCTCCTAGTGTTCTGGCGTGTTCCGCATACTCTTCGCACACGTTCTCGAACACGCACACGTGTTCTCCCAGCTCTGCTATGAGCCGCTTCTCCACTGCAGCTATGTTCAGTGGCGGCTCCGCCAGAGGTGCACTGCGCCTTGTCCTACTGGTGTAAGTTCCTGTGGAATTATCGACAGTAAAGTACTCCTTTTGCTTAACTAAGCACCAAGCCATCACAATATATGGGGGAGTGGAGGTATAGCTCCATGCATTCTTAATCTCGGTCCTGGAGGCAGACGAATGGTGTACTTCACATCACGGCCGCCTTAACCCCGTGGGAAAAGCCACTGGGACTCATTAGACAGAATGTTGGGTAAACAATCCATTGAGACTCATAGGTTATGAGACGTCGAAGCTGCCACATTTTCTAGACAATCGGCACACAGATGGCGGTAAGGTTGTGAGCCTTACGCGCCGGCCGCCCTTTACCCCCAGGAAGATTCCTGGTACTCATTTCTGTTAGAGGCTGTGTCGACCCCAGGGCCATAGTGCGGCTGGAAGGATTAGGTAAATTGAAAAAATTCAGTAAACTAATCGGGAATCGAACCCGCAAACTTCCGGCTTGTAGCATAGTGTCTCAACCAATTATGCTACCGCGTTCTCCCTCCGGAAGCTGTGGGAAAGTAAAAGACTTTTACCCCGCCGAGAATCGAACCCCGATTCGCCAGTTATCCACACGCACTATTCCGAATGTGCTATCTCGACTCTCATTACCAGTAGCGTTACCATGACAGGGGATCTGAGTTCTCACTACTGTGAATATTAAAATTAATATGCTACAAGATGGACGCTCATGGGCTCGATTCCCGATGAGGTCATTGGATTTTTCAGTTGACCTAATCCTTCCAGCCGCACTATGGCCCTGGGGTCGACACATCCTCTAACAGAAATAAGTACCAGGACTCTTCCTGGAAGTAAAGGACGACCGGCGAATAAGGCTGACAACCTCACCGCCATCTGTGAGCCGATTATCTAGAAAATGTGGAAGCCTCGACATCTCACAGCCCTATGGGCCTCCTTGGCCTCTTACAAGGATAACTTAACCTTGTTTTCTATCTTCTGAGATGTGTTGCCTAGCAATTCGGTATGTAATTACTTACATTTTGGAAGAACTTGCTGCCTCCCTCTTCAGGGTAGAATTTGGTGGAGATAGGAGGCAGTAGGTTTCTCCGAAGTGTTGGTAACTACTTATATATCCATACGGCGTCATATCCAAAGACGTGACACATAAGTTCATTGCCGTGTACACAGCAGTAAAAAACAAGGGAGTACTGGCAAGGTAACTGCTGTCCATGTTTCTAGATCTGGCCGTCAGATTGCCCAGTGGATCTGGTCGTGTCCACTGAGGTTAGGGCTTCCGGTGTGCATGGGTTATAACAGGGACGTAGTTACAGCACGTCACTCAGCCTCCTGCAGTGCAGCTGCAACCACTTCCTCGACATTTCTTGCCGTAATTATCCTCACGCTCAACCCACAGGCATGTACATTAGTTCGTATATTTAACAACGTTCTGTCCAGTTATTGTACGGACGAATGTGTTCAGAGCATGAATGGCTGTTGACGTGGAAAGACTGAGGAATACCACAAAATAATTTGATCGGCACAGCTCAGACCAAAATGCAATCTGCACAATTGACCAATACAATTCAGGCTCCAACTTGCACGATAATATTGTAAGGCGGAGGCTGGGAAAATTCCCCAGGATCTCAGACTTCGAATAGGAAATTTGAAGTGCCTGGTCCCATGGTGTAATGGTTAGCACTCTGGACTTTGAATCCAGTGATCCGAGTTCAAATCTCGGTGGGACCTAATCTTAAAAATTTTTGTGTTGTCGAAAATAGCTAATAAATATATATGATATAACAAATTTAGGCAAAATTAGTCGATAAATGTTAATTTGTTGTAATAAATAACTTTTTAGCGATTAATTATAATTATTGCCGGTCACGGTAGCCGGGATCGTGGGTTCGAATCCAACTCAGAACGTGGATGTTTATTTTTTGTGTTTGAGTGTACGTTTTTCTGTATTTGTGTACAGGTAGAGGCCTTGCGACGAGCTGATTACCCGCCCAAGGAGTCCTACCGAATGTCTAAGATCTAGTAAATCGAAGTGAAACGGAGTTTCATGGAGGTGGGGCAAGGCCCAATTTTGGGCTGTAGCGCCAAAGGGAGAAAAAATATAATTATTAACATTTGAGAAATTTTCGGATGAGTTTTATTCCCCAGTCTTCAGGATAAACACTTCTGTCTTGAAAGAGACAAGTTCCTCTGAAATTATGATAGAAGTATATACCAGACTACACGGCGTCACATCCCAGGCGATCGTAATCTCAATATTCACGGCCTTGAGAATACAACTGTTCGACCCTTAATGTTTTTCGTCGCAGAATATCTCATTTTTAATATTGTCACGTGTATTAGTGACTATAGACGGGTTTTAAATTGGATGATTGGATTTATTGATACTTTATACATTAAACTCGGGACTACAGGCAATACATTGCCATTGCTAATCTCTACACTTTACAGTTCACCGTTACACACTAGGGTTCTCAGTCTTCTTGCGTATTCTTTGCCGCGGGAATGTGTTTACTGAGTCGTAGCCTAGCAATGAACGTCTATTCTGACTTCATTATCCCGGCTTTCGGGCGTCATGTCACAACACCGTCGTGAGAACCTCCATGTTACACCATGAAGATTGAAGCGACAGGACCCTTCGAAACGCTACTGTCAGAATATAAGATTTTGCATCCCCAGACAATAGTAATCGTAGTGCCCAGCGCTCTGATAATCTCAATTTTCGATACGTTTACTGGGAAGTTAGTCGCTTTCACCAGTAAACGATTTTTTCGCCTGTTTTGTCAATTATGTACGTGCTGGCGACTGAGTACGCAGACAGATACGGTCTGTCTGTTCAAGGGCGTTTCGAATACTTTAATATGTCTCGTTATGGCGCTGCTCTCTTGTATTCAAGGGGGTTCCGGGTTCGAATATCAACCTGTTTGATCAGTGTTTCGTTGTCCTCGCATTCTTCAATACCTTCTAGTATCCTGGAGCTACTTTTTTCCACGTCATAACCCTAGTATTCTATCTATCTATCTATCTATCTATCTACTTATATATCTATGGTTCTGTAGGCCTTTGTTGGACCTTGGCCGTTTTTCATTTCCTTAATCCTATATACGGACGGTAGGACTCCGTGGGCGGGGGATCAGCTCGTCGCAAGGCCGCTACCTACACACAGAACAACTGAGAATAAACGCACACAGACATCCATGCCTCAAATAGGATGAGAACCCACGACCCCAGCGTTTGAACGAGCGAAGACTGTTCATGCCTTAGATTTGTGGTGGACCAAGTGGCACCGGGGCAGGTTTTCTCCAATTACTTCGGTTTCCCCTGCCATCAAATGCTTCATAATTATAATCCACGGCTCGAACTTTCTCGGGTGCCACGTGAATGGGAAATCACGAACGAGTGGGTCTCGAGTGGTGGAATTGTAAAGGGACTGATGTTTAGTGGGCGAGGAGAGCAGGAGAATTCCTTCACGGCGCCTCACGCTTCTCACTTCGACGAGAGAGTTATGCAAGGAAGACACTGGATCACACATAATTAACAAAACAATTAACTTAATTTATTTACACTGTTGAAGTACACTTGGGTACATAATGAAACCTTGGAGGTTGATATTGTTGCATTTGTATTACTACTATTATATAGTGCACCCTTATACGTCTGGGAGGCGCCTATTTCTCGTCTCATATACACGAAGGTCGTGGACTTCAAATAACATAAGCCCCTTCTTAACTTAATTTTGATTGGCTTACAAATCTACGGGGTCGTCAGAGCCAATTGTCACAGCCAATCAGATACTTGTATTTAATTTAAATACATCTGGAATTCTGGATCCTACCCCAGAATATTCTGGAAGCTTCGATACCTTTGGCTTTGCTAAACCGACAGCATACCATCACCTGCTTTATATTAGAAGCGTCTTGCTTTACCTTGCACTACAGAAATTCTGAGAACTGTTAGATTTAAATTGAGCTTATTTAGCCCTTGATTAAACTCCGTGTCGTGTAGTCCGCAAGCGAAATATACCGATCGAGCGACCTCCGCTTGTCGGTGAAGTTAGTGCCAACTTTAGCTAATAGAAGGTTGTCAGTGCAAAGAATCCCTACGGTAGTTAATTTCGGTGTACTAGACCGGAGCCGCTATTTCCTTGAAATAGCTCCTCAGGTATCCTCACGAGGCTGAGTGGACCCCGTTCTAGACCCACCACTTCTCAGAAAATCTGGTATAGCCGGGAATCAAACCCGGAACCTCTGGATCTGTAGCCAGGAACTCTGACCACTAGATCACAGAAGCGGTCCGCCCTTGAGTACAAAAATGATATTATGTCTTAGCTCAATTACAGTTCAGTATTGATTGATTAATTAATACAATGCATAAATATATGTGCATACGGCGTCAAGAGGTAACAGCCGGTTTAAAATAGGCCAAACAATGGCCGCAGTACCAAGTGGACTCACTCTCATCCAATGAGAAAGGAAATACCTCCAGCCTGTAATAATTTCCTTTTAATATGCGGTCGTCGTGAGCTGGGCTTTTGTACTGACGTGAAGCATGTATCTAGTTCTGCTCCAGGTTGCCTAGCTTGTTCAGAAAACCGTTTTCACCCTTCGTGACTAAACATGGTCACAGCCGCCGCTCGTGAGGATCTCAGACTTTGCAGATGTAAAAAGTGGCTTACTTACGTGGGTAGTGGCCGAGCCGTATCTCAAGCGGTTAGTCGCTGGGTTCTCATCGCGGCGGCCCACGTTCGATCCCGGGTCTGATCAAGTGGGAATTGTGGTGGACAAAGTGGTGCTGGGGCGGGTTTTCTCCGAGTACTTCGGTTTCCCCTGTCAATCTTCATTCCACCAAATTCTCCATCATCATAATCACCCGGGGCAGGCTACAGTAGGCCAATGGCCGCCGTGCCGAGTGGTCCCAGTTGGACTCCATCCCCCACTAAGCGAATTTAAATTTAATTTTACTTACGTGGGTTCAGTGAATATGCAAGTTTCTTCACGAAATTGGACAGCCTCACTGCTACGATTATGATAGGAAATCCGATAAGTTGCACTGGGAGTTCAAACGGAGATTCCTGCGGGCTGGGCGCCGCGACGCTAACAGGTGGAATCCCTAGCAGACAGACGAGGTGCAGCAAGATGGATACCGCCAGAAGCAGCTTCTGTCCCTTCATTGCGTCTCTTCAGTTAACCACAAACCGGAGAGAGCAGATCATTGCTCGGTTTCTTGTGCGTTCCGTGTGTAGATGGATTGTGAGATCACTTTTAAACTCACAAGATGACGTCACATTCAGTATAACCACTTAATCACAGTCACTGGTATCACTGCTACTGACGTCCACTTCGCCCACTAAAGAGTTTATTTGCCCTGAAATTAATCGTTTGTTGTTAGCCGTTTATTCAGTAATTAAATGGGTTTGGAAGCGCAATAAGTTTCCATCTATCTATTTATCTCTCTGTCTACCTGTCTATCTATCTATCTGCCTGTCTATTTGTGGCTCTACAGCCCTTTGTTGGGCCCTGGCCTTTTCTTCAGTTTCATAATCATCTTTCCACGGCCTGTATGACTCTTTGGACGAGTGATCAGCCCGTCGCAAGGCAGCTACCTAAACATAGAATAAACACACACACAAATATACAAGTACATGCCTTGCGTGGGATTCGAACTAACTATCTCAGCGTTCGAGCGAGCGAAGAAAGTAACTAGACGTAATTGACCAAAATTAAGTAAATTCTGTGGTGGAACTAAGTGCCCTATTCACTAGCTCTGTGTACCGCATATTTTAATGTTAAGAAACTGGCTGCTTTCTCACACGGTGCATTTATGTGTGTCGTGTGATTCTCGCCATGAGCAACGATTATTTCCCTATACGATATTAACCGGTTGGTCTTTATAATAGTGTGACAGTATATTTTCTTTCAAATTGGAATTGAATTTTTAATGCTTTAAAGTGCTAACTAAGCAAATATTAAGAATATTTTTTTTTCCAGCAAGTTGTATATCAACATATACGGGGAAGGTCCTGCGACCTGCCATCTCGGCACGGATTTTCTTTATTTTCCTCTGTCTTCAAGCAAATGTTGAGAATATTCGTAAGTTTCTAATTATTGCTGCTTCTCATGCAACCCTCCCGATTTTTTCTTTGAAATTAAAAGAGCTTATTATAAAGATTACCAGATATTCTCCCTAAATTATAAAATTAACCATGAATTCATAACATCCGAATTCAGTGACAATTGTCTCATTGTATATTGAATGCTACATCGATACCCGACATTAGCTACAGTGTGATATTATTAAACAAGAACCTGATAATAGTGTAGGATTTGAGGTCCACACACCGGTGGTTATAAAGCGCTCCATCTTCTGGGATATGACACGGAGCAGTCCGTTGAAAGTCAATAGAAGCCTTATACATGACGTCATTACTACAATGCGTTCTCGCTTAAAACGTATCACCCTGTACCATCGATGTCAACATTTGAACATTTGAATGTGTAATGTGTTGCTATGGAAACAGAAGTCATACCTGCAGGAGCGTCGGCTTGTTGGGGTCCACAAGAAACTGCTCCGAGAGTTGCAAGACTTGTGCTGGTCCGGTAGACAAGCTGGTCGAGATTGAGGGGCTCTGCAGTGAAAGCGGGACAAACCCCCCGCCCCACTCACCGCCGGGGCGCCCTTCCCCATGCCAATTAAACCGTTAGGAACAAAAACGTCCAATGCCGCATTCTCATTCCCACAGCAATAACAATGATTGCTGCACTTCAGTGAATGCGGTTTGAAGGCAGTCCCTGTCACCGTGTCTTGGAACTGCTCTGCAGATTTTGCTGTTGCTTATTTAACGATGCTGTCAGTATCGAGACTACATGACGTCGGTTATAGATTGGTTAATGAAAGTAGAACAGTTGGTGGAATCAGAATTGGCAGGGGAAACCGAAGTACTAGGAGAAAACTCACCACAGTGTCACTTTGTTCACCATAAATCCCATATGACCTGGTCTGGGATCGAGACCGGTGACTAACCCCATGTGTTGTTATACACTCCTTGAAGTTTAACCCTTGAAAGCATTATGGTAACTATATATACCAGCCATGTTAACAGCAGCAGGTCATTATGAGGATGTCTATAGGGAGTGGACTACTTTAGGAGACGTAAAATTGTGTTCATCTTCTTATTTCTTTTATTTCGTTCTTTCTTTCCTCTTCCTTCTATTTTATTTCTCCTTCATTTTTCTTTTGTCTTTTGTTCCCCTCATCCTCCACTTCCTTCCTTAGTCTCTCTTCTTTCCCACATTTCTTTAATCCATCTTCGCCTTTTACCCCTTCCTTCTACCTGTTTATGTTCTTTTTCTGTCTCTGTTTTTCTTGCATAGCCCGCTCGGGATTTCGTAAGCGTCTGAGGAACTGTTAGTTTCTTAAGAGCGACTAACTCCATCGAGTTACTTAAGTTGTACTTCCCTCTATCGAAGGCCCCCGATAAGTGTAAGTATACCGCCCTAGGTGGCTGAGGCACTATGCTAAATGCCGGAAGGTCACAGATTCGATTCCCAATTAGTTAATTGCATTTTTCAATTCACTTAATCCTTCCAGCCGCACTATGGCCCTGGGGTCTACTCATCCTCTAATAGAAATGAGTACCAGGAATCTTTCTGGGGTCAATGGCGGCCGGCCAGCGCGTAAGGCTGATAACCTCACCGCCATCTGTGAGCCGATTGTCTAGAAAATATGGGAGCCGCGACGGCTCACGACACTGTGGGGCCCCACTACCTGATACAGGGTTAGCTTCATATTTTTACATTTTCTCATAGGTTCTCTTCAACAGAGAAGGCGTATAAAAGGGGAATTAATTTGTGTTATCTGTAATGTGATTAACTCTGCAAGGAGGGAAGGACGCCCTCTCTAGGTTCTTGAGAGAAAACATCAAAATTATACAAAAGATGGCAATATGGCATCATTAATAATGGAAATAAAAATATTTAAAAACGTTATTCTAATTATATTTGTTGAATTGTTCAGGTTATGAAGCTCTTCGTTATGCAGTTCTCTCCAGCCTCTGAACTGTGCAAGAGTGTCAGATAATCCATTGTTTCATAAAACATGATACAGAATCTTAGCTAAGAGAAAACGAAAGCTGTTCGGAGCGCACAAAAAGGAGAGAGGCCTTTATCTAACACTGGGCACCTGACCTCCGTTAATGACAACTTCGCAGAGGAGAGGAGTGGGGCGTGTACCTACTTAATTAAGAGACATCCCCGCCCAAAATTCTATATGCATATCTTGTCTCTTCATCAGATTGTTTTAAACTTAGTTTCTTTATTTTGAGAAAAAAAGAATAAAATTATGTTTTGATATCACGTTACTGTTAGTGTCTGTGTGTGTCCCCTTAAAACTTTTTAGTTTTCTGTGCGGTCAGTGAAGTATCAGAAGAAAATAGACTATCTGTTCTTCCCAGAGGTTCTTGCTGTGTATGGCGTACTTAACGACCCTATAGGTAGCTCAGACTATGTAACATCACACTGTAGGAAAATTATTGAATAATGAAGTATGGAGATGGCATTGAAGGAAGAGGTCGTGGGTTAATTTAAAGTAAAATGCAGGCATTTACTTGGAGGGGAAATAACAGGCTACTTGCTGGGGTGTCGAGGAATCGTGGTTCGATTGCCTGTAGGAGAAAAAATCTTTCTCATCTCCACAACGTCCGGATCGCCTCTGCTTCCTAACCAGTGATTACCGGGGAAGGTTTTTCCTCCTTGAAAAGCGGCTGGGGCTTGAATGTGACTCCTCACATATAGTACCGAGCGTACTGCACTCCATTCATACTTTCTAGTGACGTAGAATTTTACCTACATCACGGTAGATTACCCTGAAGCTGAATGCAGCGGATTCTGTCGAAACGTTGGTACCCAAAAAGCATTGGCGAACGGGTTGGCATAGCGGAAAGGCTCTAGACTTGCATTTGGATCTCTGGCGAGGCACTAGCTCTCTTGAAGATTTTCTTCCCCCCCCCCGGCCCTGAGACCGACAGACAGACTCAGGGCCATAGAGCAGCTGGAAGGATTATGTCAACTGAAAAATCCAATGGCATCGGGAATCAACCCGTGGCCTTCTGGCTTTTAGCATAGTGCCTCAACCAACCACACTGCCGAGTGCCCCGTGTAAGCCTGCTTACATGTTAATAGCGATATTTATTGCGTAGAAGTTGTTTGTTTGTTCTGAATCTAATTTTGTCGCCTGCAGAACACTGGCTACTGCGCTGTACAAGTTGTTCAGTTGAGTAATTCACTCGAGGTTACAGTAACGAAAATAAACGTTAGCAAAGAAAGCAGGATGCACCGTTCACACAAAGCCATGAGTACAGACAGAGAAAGTCCACGTAAGTGAAACACACTTGTCAACAGTAACGCTATCTCTGATCATTGTCATGTAACTTTCACTCGCACCCAGAGAGACCGGTAGTGGTTGCCACACGTTTCTCCTTGCTTATGTTATTTCTCTCTGGCCCCCTTCGTAGTCGCATATGTGTCCAGGTTTACACGTACTTCGAGCGGCTCCTTGCTTCCTACTTGGCTTATTCTTAGACCCTGAAGATGGAGGCAATACATTTTTCTAAAATGTCGGTGAAAACTACTGTTCTATACAGCATCGTATCCCAGAAAGTAGTAGTCATCATATTTACCGCTGTGATAACCTTAAATCCCACATTAAATATTTTTATACTCTCAGATGTTCTAAGAACACTGTGGCATTTATAACCGTTGCTAGGCAACGACAGCGACAAAGGCTGGTATACAAGAGCCGTTGCCAAGTAACGACTTCACAAACAAGCATGTTTCCACGGAAATAGTTCCAAAGCAATAATGAAACGGTGTTTTCTTTGCGGTCCGTGCCGAGATGTTATAAGCAGAACAGTTAGTGAGATTCAGTTGAGTTACTGAAGTGAAGTGGGTTGGTTGGTGAGTGAGTGAGTTAGAGGACTGCTGCATATCAGTCGTTGTGAGCTGTTGCTGTTGGAAACTGATAGCTGAGGTCGTGGATAATGCGGCAACACAGAGGAAGGGAAACTTTCGAGATTGGAAGCCGCTAAAGGGCAACGGCTAGTGAAGACGTGACTGTGGACACTGCGTGTGTGTGTGTGTGTGTAGAATAGTGAATTGTAAAGTGTAGTCACGCTCTGTATCAAAGACTACAGTAAATCCAGTCATCAATCCAGAACTCGTCTATAGTCACTCAATCATGTGACAATATATTATCATTGTGCAGCAGATAGGTTGGACGAAAAGTTATTACTTAAAGGAGTACGTTGGGCATAAGTTGTATTTATTTTTCCCTCTATAACTTTTGTTAGCAATATATATTATTTTTTTCGCTCTGATAAGTATCTAAGAGGTTACGATCGAGGTGTGCTCTGAAATTCATGTAGGGCTTCATCTGAAGTAAACGCAGTTTTGTCCGATCTTAATCGACGATGGAAAATATAAAAAATACTTCACTAAAATCTTGCCAATGTCAGATTACGTTAAAATAATTTTGTTGTTCTCTACTTACATATGTGGGGATGCCCGTCTTGCAAAGTTTCATGGCGAACTCACCAAAAATTACTTGAAAATTTTTGGAAATGTTATTTTAATTATAATAATAAATAGTAAAAAAGGTAAAATTGTCCTTGTAATTAATTATTTGAGCACTATGCCATAAAGATATATGGGGGAGTGGAGGTATTACTCCACCATTCTTGACCTCGGCACTAGATGGAGGTCAGTGGTCAGCTTCACTTCCTCTTCCGCGTTACCCCCAGGGAAAGAGCCCCCTGTGCCCATAGGGTGGGTGGGCCCCCAGAGCCGGTCTGGACGCTGTGGAGAAAGGAAAAATCTTGCACTGACGGGAATCGAACCCGGTCCGTCCAGCCCATAGCCCGCCACTATACCGACTGAGTTGTCACGGCTCCCAAAGGTAAAGTTGTCCTTGTGCTAAACTAATTAAGCACTACGCCCTGAAGGCGTATGGTGGAGTGGATGTATAGATCCACATTTTCTTCATCTTGGCACTACTTGGAGGTGAGTCGTAACTTTACCCCCGGAGAAAGAGTCTCCGGTACCCGTTGGATAGGAGGCCGGGTGGGCCTACCGGGACTCGAACTTCGGCCCTCTGTCATCCAGCCCGTAACCAATTGCTGTACCTACCATGCTATCCGGGCTCCTAATTGTATTAAATGAGCAATAAAGTAATTAATGAGTTCTTCTTCGTTTCGCAGTCGTCACTGAATAAGTAAACTCCTCCAAGGACACAAAGTGTCACGAACTCTGCAGTGATACGGGGATACCGTACCGGGGTACTGTGCGCAATGTTTGGTTGCTCTGCAGCACAAGCAAGATGACTCTAAATTATTGTCGGGGTTTCCAAGGCCTATAATTGTCAAACCGGAAAATAGAAAATAAAACTGCTGATGGAATATGAAAGCGTAACTCAAAATATTTTATTACTTATAGAATCAGTACTGCAAAATGCTAAACAACGTCCATATGCGCGCCTTTCATTGCACGGAAGATGTCCAAGTGGAATTCAATTTCCCTCTAAGTTCCCTCTAAAATATAGACCACGAAAACCCCAACAG